TCATAGAACCGCCAATTGCCAATATTCATTCCTCGCCAATAAATCATCTTGTACGGTAAAAACTCCAAATTTTCACTAGCTTACTAGCCATACGGTCAAGCCTAGTAATGCTAGACATGACATAAAAACATTAGACACGGAAATTACAAAGAAACGGAACTTTCCCGCACTATCTTGTTCACAGATTGGATTACAGACGGGTCAGTACCAGTGGTGATAGAGGAATCTCTTTGAATCGCTAATTGTGGGTATCATCACAGCCGGTAGGAATATTCCCTTTACGCAACAGTACAGATAGAAGCCGAATTAATCAAATAACATAAAGATAATAAAGGTATTTAATCTCTCTTCCTTTAGTCCCCTCATAAAATAAAAAAAATAAAATACCATTCATAAATAATGTTGATACATACATGTACATGTATAGGGAAGTGGTGATGTGATCATAATTAGTATTTTTATTTAAAAATTATTTCAAATTATCAATATTGTGACATAATATTAGTTAAATAGCGTGTAACTACCAATAAGATGACTGATGACAATTATACAATTTAATAATTACAACATACACTTACAGTTCGTCTCTTAATTTTGGCGAATCGTCTCTCGAATTCAAAAGATTAGATTTATTCTCGAGTGTACGAACTACAAAAGAAAAGCAAATTTTAAAAATGCAATATAAACTATACCCAATCATGTATATGTACTTCATGTAGTTATTAGTGTAAAAACAGGATTGCAGTCAAAACGAGTCATGACTACAGCATCAATAAAGGTACATGTACATGTACATGCATGACAACATTTCCCATAGAACTACATGTATACGTGTTATACATCACAGATGTACGTGTACATGCACCTGAACATGGACACACATACATGTACACGTACATGTCACTTTCAGTCAATATTACCATTGTTATTGAAGTGTTGTACGTTTTCCTCTACTTCTTGTAAGTTACGAGCAATCTGAGGATTAGAGGGCCCTAGTGGAGGAGAGAAAGAGAGAGAGTGAGTTTAAGAAACTGAAGGTTTTAGAGCTCAACCACGCCCACCCACACCAAAATTACTCGAAACAGTAGAGTGAGCAAAGTCATCGAACTCACGATAACCAGTGGCCATTCTGTAAATCCTCTGCTGTCTTTCTGTCTTCTCTTTCAAGAGCGATGAATAAACAAGATTTAAACAAAGCTAGTCATGTGAGAGACCAATTAATCGGCCATATGCAAGTCACGGTCACGCCCTTATTTATTACCACGCCCATAGCCACGCCCCAGCAAGATTATTGCATAATTGCATTATTGATTACAGCAAGCACAATTTTTGCAATTACATTGCAAAGCCTGCATTATTATTGCTCAATACTGGGAATTGTTATCAAACTTGTATCAATAATTATATCTATAAATAGATATAATAATGACAATGCAACTAGTGCAAAAGGGTAGCTAAAGAATAAATAATCGCTTGTTCAGTGAACATTCACACATTTAAACAAAATAATTATTAATAATAATTATAATGTCAATAATAGTTTGTTGCTGCAGATTTAGCTAACAGGACAGCTACATGTACATGTACATGTAGATGGAGTCGTAGTTGCTTGAACNGGTGTAGTACGAAGTATACGATGCAGTAGAAGTTGTAG